ATAATAAACCAAGAAATAAAAGATATCGCTGTTCAAAATGTAATAAAAAATTTCGTACACGTGAATTATGTTTATATCATATACGTATGTTTCATCAGAATAATTGTAAATCATCAACAACAACAACAGTGGTAAATAATCTTGATAATAATAAATCAATGAAAAAACGTAATATCATCAATGAAAATATGCAACCATCAAATGATGGTAATCATCGTCGAGATTTACCATTAAATCTACAAACGGCCAGCGATGATGATCAACAACAGCCAGCATTGTTTGATGATCCAACGATTGATAATCATGATGATAATAGCAATAATGATAATATCACCCAACAACAACAACAACATTCTGATGATGATGATGATGTTACGACTGAAGAAAATGATGATCAAGATGATGATGATCATAATAATGTTACCGATTCATCATTATCAACAGCAACTGCTGGACAAAAATCATTGGTAAGTTTCTTTTGATTTGAAAGAAAATTGTTTTTTCAAAAATCGATATTTAATCAATCAATTTTTCTCCACATTTTTTTCTGCTTTCTTCTTCATCTGATAGATCTGTGTGAATGGTACGGAATAATCAATCTCGGTTTATCAACCAAATTTTTCATCGAAATCAAATCAACAAAAACATTCCTTTTTTGAAAAAATTCTTTCAAACTCAGTATTCACTCCGTGTTTTGTTTTGTTTTGTTCTTTATTCTCATCCGAATTCAACAAGTCTTCTTTATCTCTTTTGATCAACTAAATCATCCAATCAATAACGAAAACAGCGCACAACAAAATTTCACACGTTCCAGCAACAGGACAGGATCTTTTTTTAATCTCTCCTTCTCCTCTCTCTTCAATCACATACGATATTCAAGGGACCAAAGATTTTCATCTGATTTTCCAAAAATCATCAGTGATTCAATGAATTCTCTCCCCGCTTCTTCCTTTTCTTCTTCACCTTCAAATCTTTGATTACAACAGCAAGATGAAATTGATTAATCTGACTGACTGATTATGACAAAACACAGACACTAAAGAAAAATTCCAATGTCTTTGACATTTTTTTTTCGTGTTTGTTTGCTGCCAATTTGTAAAACATCGTCATGAATATAGCACCTATACTGATAATCATCATCATCCACATCTACATAAACAAATTTTTTTTTCAAAAATTGAAATCTGATCATATCCAATTCATTTCATTTCATTTGCTCATCATACGAAATACGAAAATAACGAAAAGCAGAAAATCAACGAAAATCAAATAAACTGACCTTAAACGTTAAAATAATTATCACATTTCAAACAAACAAACAAACAACTACAAAATACTTTGTGTAAATAGAGAAAGATAGATAAGGAAAGAGAGTGATGCATCATCATCAAATTGCATCTTTTTCAATCCTAAAATACAAACAAACAGCAAACAAGTATCCGCATCAATTTGATTCTTTCAATCAAATAAAAAAAACTAAAAATTTTTTTCAAAAATGTCGTCGTCCCGTTCACCATACGAAAATCATTATCACCACCATCAAATTTGTAACATCGTATCAAAAAAATCCTCAAAGATAAAGAGAGCCACACACACANNNGATGAAAAATTAAATATCAATTAATTAAAGATGCATTTCACGATCTCATCATCATTATCATCAGCATTCCTTTTTTTTCTTGAATGACATCTTCTTTCTTAAATTGATGGTGACAATTTTGAAATTTGAAGCAAGAAGAGAGGCTCGACAACATCTAAGACAACTTTTGGATCTGGATCTGATCTAACCAGCGACGAATTTTCATCATTTTCCCTTGTAAAATTATTTCATTTTTGTTTGTTTTTTTTCCATTTTTTCCTTTTTTTGTTACAAATTTTTTCCATTTTTCTCTGTGTGTGTGCGTGTGTTTTATTGATTACCTGATTGATTGATTGATTGATTGATAACAATTTATCTGATTGATTTTCACTTCATTTAATTCTTATTTATTTATTTAATATCATCATCATCATCATCATCATCAACATTAACCATTAAGCATCCGCATCATCATCATCATTTTTTTCTATTCAAACACACACATTAACACGGCCATCCACACACTTCATTTTATTGATTTTTTAATTTAATTAACAAAATTTTTTTTAATTCAATTAACATGGTCATCACAAATAAATAAATAAATAATGTTCTCTCTCCTTGTAATCGATTGTAATCTGCTGCTGCTGCTGCTGCTAATACATCCATCATCATCATCATCATCATCATCATTATAAATATAGATTTTCAATTTTTAATTTAATTTAATTCAATAATAATGATTTTTTCTTCTCTTGTTTCGACATTGAATCTCTTGCTTTCATTCATTTCATTTCATTTGCTCTCTTTTTATTTAAAACAAACAAACAAACAAAACAAAAATCATTCTTTGTATGAATCGATT